TCAACATATGTACTAAAGTGCTGGACACAGATTGTGATGAGTTGTATGAGCCCCTAATAAATGATTATTAAACCAAAAAAAGAGCGTCCAGAGCTGTGCCGGCCTCATTCTGGTCCCCGAGTGCGGGTGCTGGGGCCTGTCATCGGGAGGCTGTGGCGTCAGGAGCCAGCGCCAGACACAGAGTCTCCGGAAGGGACATTTTCTTGGCAAGAGAACCCTGGATCCGCCGAGGCTTGGGGAGGAGGGCAGAGAGGAAGAGGAGGAAGATCTGACGGGGCGGTTATTGTCCAGCGCCTCCTCCCCACCGAGCCAGCTGGGCTAATCCTGGCCTGTCCGGCTGTAGCTCCCCAAGCCGGCATCCTGAGTGGTCTTTGAAGGAGGGCCATGAACTGGGGGGGGTGGGGGGAGGCTTTCCTGCCTCCCGCTGGCTGGCTAGACAGGACACGGGACAGAACACTCTGTCCTGCTGCTACGGCTACAGAAGCTTCCAGGCTCCCAGGGGCTTACATCCGGCTGAGGACACTGACCGAGTGGACAGGCCACGTGTACATTCGGCCTGGGCTCGGCCAGGGCCCTGGAGCCAGTTAGAGGGCAAGTGTCCCCTCCAACAAGGACCCCTTAGCTCTCCAGGTGAGTTCTGTGGAGCGAGAGACAACGGTGTTGGAAGCGGAGGTCAGAGGAAGGCAGGGAAAAAATACCCCATTCCATTCCACGAGGAGAATGCTGAGCGGGGACAGAGGGGTGGGCTGGGGCAGCAGCGACAGCCCAGGATGCAGCGTAACCCCTTGCTGGCCAGCTGGGGGACTCTGGGCAGCCCTGGCCTGCTCACCCCAGGTGTTCTGTGTACCCCAAACTCCAAACCCAGTTCCATTGAGTCGATGTCCACTCATAGCAGGGCAGAACTTCCCCCGTGAGTTACCAAGACGTAGCTCTTTAGGGGAGTAGAAAGCCTCATTTTTCTTCTGTGGAACAGCTGGTGGTTTTGAACTGCTGACCCTGTGGATCGCAGCTCAGTGCATCACCACTGCGCCACTCTGTGATAAACAGCCGAGAAGGAGCTACGGACATTCTCTGGAGTGTTCTGTGCACCGGTGGGTAGCAGACCCCAGCCCTGCGTCCCCCTCCCTTGTCACCCTTCCACGTCCCCAGCAAACTGCCTCGGCGCAGCAGGGGCTGCGAGCAGGAACTCATCCGGTGGCTGAAAGAAAGTTCACTGTCGTACTGAGAACGAACCCCAGAGACCTTACAGCCCCCCAGCCCTCTGTGGCCTGGCGACCACCCACCTCTCCCAGCCTGTGAGCCACCCTGCTTCCCTCTCATCATTCCAATCCCATCTAGCCGCCAGGCCTTTACACCCGCTGCTCCCCACGCCCGGGGGACACTCTCCCTCTAGGATGTGCTGTGTCTGGCCTCTTCTCCTCCCTTGGATCTCAGCTCAATGTCTCCCTTGCCATGAGCTTCCCAGACAGCCCCACCCCCCTCTTTACATCACCCACGCGAGCCCCACCGCAGGCCACGTCTTCTGTGGGCTTGTTTGTGATCTGCCTCCCTCACCAGGGTGGGGAGCCCACGGGTTTTGCCGACTGTCCTGTCCCCAGCGGCGTGGGCTCACGGAAGACTCTCAGTAAATATTTGTGGAGCAAACCAAGCCGGGGACACGTAAGGCAGGCAGGTTAGAACAAGGCAGGGGGATGTGGGCGGCCATGCCTGAACCACCTGCTTGGTGGGAGGCGGCCAGCGGCAGCTGCTCCTTCTAGCCCATCCAGGCTGCTCTTTGCTGCTGCCCTGGGCCTCTGTGGGGCAGCTCGGGGGGCCTGGGTAGCCCGGACCCCTGGGGTACAGAAGGAAGCTGCCTCCACTCCCCAACGAAGACCCAAGCCCTTCCACTCCTTGGTGCAGATCCGGCCCTCCCTGCCCCTCTCTCACCTGCTTGCTGGGTCTGGCCTTGGGTGGGTGTGCTCGGCGGCCCGTCCCCTGCGGCGTTGAAGGCGGTCACACTGACCATGTAGGTCATGTAGCTGGTCAGGTTCTTGAGCTTCACCCCATTCTCGGCCAGGAAGAGTGTCTTCACTCGCTCCGTGAAGTTCCGCCGCTGGGCTTCCCAGAAATAAATCTGTGGGCGAGGGAAGGAGACCGCTCAGCGGTCGGGCATCCCCCTGCCCTGGCTGGCTGCCCGGGCCTCCCAGGGCTCATGTGGCCCAGGGTGAGAAGAGGAGCCTCTGTTAAGCGACCAAGCTCTGCTGCCAACAGAAAGGCTGGGAGTTCAAGTCCACCGAGACGTGCCTCACAAGAAAGGCCTGGTGCTTTTGCAGAGGGCAGCCACAGACCACCCTCTGGGGCGCAGGTGTCCCTTGGAACTGAGCGTCCAGCCACTGCTTTGTTTAAGAGCTGTTCTAGGGGCGCGTCCAGAGCCATGGCTCAGACAGGTCTGGGTTGTCTGCTAGAGGCGGAAGGAACCCCATGAGGGCACAGACCCCCGTGTATCTCTGCAGGGCCTGAGGGATTTATAGGGCACTAGCACATAAGCCAGAGGAGCCCTGGTGGTGTCAGTGGTTACGAATTGGGCTGCTAACTGCAAGGTCGGCAGTTTGAAACCACCAGCCGCCACATGGGAGAAAGATGAGGCTCTCTACTCCCATAACAAGTTACAGTCTCAGAAATTCACAGGGGCAGTTCTACTCTGTCCTATGGGGACACTAGAGTTGAAGTCCACTCAGTGGTCGTGGGCTTGTTTTGTTAGCGGGAAACATAAGCTAGGAGCCTGGTAGCATGGCGGTGAAGCACGGAGCTGGCAACTGAGGCTTGAGCCCACCAGCCAGCCCTTCCGCAAGCGAAAGACCAGGCTGGCTACAGCCCTGGAGGCCCTGGGGCGGGGCTGCTCCCTCCTGTACGGTTGCTATGGGTGGGAATCTCCCTGACGACAATGGCTTTGTTTTTGTGTCACACCAACATTTAGGGAGACATGGGTCAGGTAGAAGGTGCCCGTGGGCAGTGTGGCGTGGACTGCACTGCCCAATCAGGGGCGCTGGGACAAGCGCCACATCCCTGGGGGGAAGGGAGGTGGGGAGCTGGATGGCAGTACAGAGTCACAGTGGGGGCTACAGTAAAGACCCCCACCTACCAGGATCAAAATGGTGCCAAGGTTGGGGCAACCTAGAGGACTGGGTGCTGCCCCTCCCCCGCGACTCAGCCTGCTTCCTTTGCTCCAGGATGGAGGAAGGTTTGAGGGCAGGAGCCCAGCACCTGTCTCCAACTGTTTCCCAGGCCACCTGGGAATCTCAGGTGTGGCTGGAGTGGGCGGGCCCAACCACATGGGGGTTTGATGGTCATTTGGCGCCATCTTCTGGCGAGAGAGGCTTCTGCAGGCTGCCGCCGCCCGAATCTCTCAAGGCCGAAAATAAAAACGGGGTGTTAACAGAAGGGACCCCCCCAGACGTGGCCCGCCGGAGCAGCAGTGAGGGGCCTTGTTGCTGTCACAGCCTTGCTTCTCTCCTCCCTTCCTGTTCAGACTTTTCTCCAATGGGTAGAGGGCTGTGGGGTGAGGGGCCCTGGATGAGCCATGGCTGATGATTGATTGATTGATTGATTGACTGGTTCACAGTAAACAACTCAAACCAGGACCTCGCTGCCCTTGAGTGGTTTCCACTGGCTGTTTTTTGGCTAGGAGATCGCCAGGCCTGTGTTGGGTTTTGAAACACCACCTGTCAGTTAGCAGGTGAGCCCTTGCCTCTGCCCCTGGGTGGATTCCTGCCAATGTGGTGCTCCAGGAAAGGTTAGGGTTCTCCAACATGTGGGTTTAACAAAAGGCGGGGGGTGTGGTGTGGGGGTGTGTGGGTCCTTTTGGGAGGTGTGGGTCCACCCAGAGGAACTTAGAAAGGAATGTCTCGTTCCCCAAACTTCTGACCTTGCAGTTAGCAGTCCAGGTGTAGCCACTACACCACCACCAACAGAGGCCCTTGGCTCCTTGGGCAAACCCCACTGCTACTCCTTGGCTCATGGCTCCCCCATGTGTTACAGGGTGGAACTGCACCATGGGAGCAATTTTTACTAACTGGCTGATTGGCCCCCTTGAAAACCATAGCCAGGAAGCCCCCAGTCAGCTCTGCTCTGTCCTACAGGGTCTCTGTGAAGGCAGGCGCACAGCACCTAGGGAAACAGACCGCCAGGAGTTTCTTCCTGGGCACCCCTGGGTGGATTCGAACTCTAACCTTTTGTTTCATGTAGGGATCTTAATTTGGAGCCCTGGTGGTGTGGGGATCACGCCTGAAGCTAACTGCAAGGTCAGCAGTTCAAAGCCACCAGCCGCTCTGCGGGAGAAAGACGAAGCTGTCTTCCCCTGCCAAGAATTACCATCTCAGATACACACAGCGGCGGTTCTATCCGTCCTAGAAGGTTGCTGTAGAGTTGGAATTGAGTTGGTAGCGGTGATTTTTGGTTTTATTTGGAGGGAGGGACCTTAATATTGTAATTATGATTAGCCACTTTGAGGGGTCTCAAATCAGGGCTGGGAGTTGGCAGGGCTCAGAAGGGCAGCTGCTCAGCCATGCTGCCAAGCTAGGTCCTGCCTGGGTTTCTGGTGCTGCAGGTGATGGGTGCTGGTGTCTATGCATGGCATGCCAGCAGTCACGGAGCAGGTCGACCAGAGTCCCCGAGCGTGAGCCGGGCTGGGAGGAGGCAGGCCTGGCCCCTCTCTGCTACCGCCCACTGACTACTCCCAGCCTCCCGCTGCCCCCCTTGGCCTGCGGGTGGCCCTACCTTGTACCCCTGGATGTCTCCATTCTGGTTCTCCAGCGGGGGTGGCTCCCAGGTCACGTCCAGCTGTGTGGCGGTGGCGCCGTGGATGGCCACATTTCGGGGCGCGGCGGTGGGCACTAAGGGGTGTGTGTGTGCATGGTGAATTAGGAGCCAGGGAGCTGGGTGAGGGAGGGCTGGGGTGGGGGTCCCCAAGTCCTATGTGCCCTGTGGTTGGATTCAGGAGAGGTGGGGGAGGTGGGGGACCCGGTGAGGCATACCTGCTTCCCCAACGAAGACCTCCTGGGGCGGGCTGGAGGGGCCCTCTCCCACGGCATTGTACACGCTCATCCGGATCTCATAGCGCCGGTGCTTGTTCAGGTCTGGGGGCGATAGGAGGTAGGTGGGGGCACACGGAGGTCAGAGCCCCCAGGGCTGGGAAAGAAGGGTGGGCTACATCCGCTCCTCTGGCTCCTTGTCAGAAGGTTGAGGTCACAGCAGGTAAGGGCAAACTTCCAATCAGGACGTGGGGCCGCCCTGGCCCAGGGTGATGGCAGAACTCACAGTCCAGATGAGGATATGTTTGAGGCCAAAGAGGGGGTGCTAGTAATATGTACGTGGGGCCACAGGTGGAACCCCAAGTGTGCCAGTCACTCAAGGATGTAAGGTCACTTGTCTGCCTGTCCTCCCATCTGCCAGCTCTCTGCACAGGGTGGGCATTGGGTGTGCTTCTGGGGCTCAGGGAACCCCATGTTTCTGCCAAGTTTGGGGTGCTGGGTGTAGCTCCAGGGCGGGAGCTGGGAGCGGCTGGCAGACCAGGAAAAGAGCCCTGGATGTCCCAGGCAGAGGCTTGGGAGATGGGCTGGTTGTGTGTCTCTCCTCCCTCAGGGGTCCCCTTGCCCTCTGGGGAACACAGGGCGCAAGTTTCAACTCTTCCACAGGAATGAGGGAATGTCACTCTGACTCAACCACCTCTGGAGCCCACATGGGCCTCCGGCTGATAGGAGAAGGGGAGGGAGAACCTGACCCCCAGAACCTGGGAAAAGGGGGTGTAGCAGGGGCATTTTCCTGGGGCCTTGGGGGGAGGCTGGTAAACCAAGCATCTGGAAGAGGGGGGTGTCTCAGGCTGGAAGATAAGGCCATGCCAACAGTTGCCCCACAAGCACAAAGCTTGTCACCCAACCTGGAGGCCCAGCAGCTCAGACCAGACCCGCTGCAGCGCAAGGACTAGGGAGCCTGGAACGCGGTGGCCCCGTTGTGCACACGGGGCTGAAGTGCTCCTGCCCTGTGCCATCTCCCTCACCGGGTGCAGACCAGACTACTGTGGTCTAGAGGGTTTTGTTGGCTGAGTTTGGGAGTGGATCGCCTGTCTTCTGCATCTAACTCAGCCTGGACGTGTCACGGAAGTCTGTTCACCATCTGAGCAGCAGGTCACCTACTCCCCCTTCCCAGCTGCCGACAGTTGGAGGGAGGTTGGGAATGAAACCCAGATCTCCCAGGTGCGAGGCGAGGATTCTACCACTGAGCCACCCTGCATTCAGACACGCCCTGCCCCATCCACGCAGGAGCTTGGAGGGACTTGCCAGCCACCGCCTAGCTTTCTGGGATTTCGGGAAAGTCATGTAGCCGAAGGACTGCCCTGGTCCTCAGACACACTCAGAGGCCACCCCCACCCCACCCCCTGGCGGAGCAGCACATGGGGTTGCAGGGGTGGGGGTGGGGAGTGGGAGGCATGGTGGGAACCCCAGGCCCGGAGACTTACTGTCCAGCTCGTACTGCGTGAGGCTGGGCCGACTCAGGTTCCGCGTGGAGTACAGGGCTATGGGGGGGTTGGGGTGCGGGGGCCGGGTGAGACAGCAGACAGTGCAGGTTAGTATACACACATAACACATTCCACAGAGAAGCACCAATGCAGGCAGGGGAGGGATGTGGGGACAGGAGAGAGAGGGTGCTCTAGCCGGCCAGGCCACTGATGGGCAGCGGGAATCAGGCCAGATGGCAGGACCCTGAGGAACCAGGGTGGTGGTGGTGGGGCAGGTAGGAAAGCAGGTGGCTGGGGACAGTGCTACTCTCATTCTTGTCTGCCCATGCTCTTGCCTGGCCTGATGTCCCCAGAGCCCAGCATCCCTGAGGGGGTGGGGAGAGCCCTCTAGCTCCAAGGAGCTCCCTTGTTTAAAGAGAAATACGGGTGCCATTAATTCTCTCATATGAACCAGAAACTACTTTACTGCAAGAAATACGGCTGTATTATAACAGGCCATATAAAATCACAACCATCAGTACACGTCTGGGGGAAAGAGAGAGAGCGAGCGAGAGAGTGAGCGAGCTGGAGAGAAGGCGGACTGCTGGCTGGGTGAAGACCGAGTTTTCCCATTAATATTCCTTTGCTCCACGATCAGTCATCTTGTCTACGGACGCTCTCCGGAAGACAAAGCCCAAAAGGGTTCAGAGAATTACGAGTGGAAAAATCAGAGTTGAGAGGGTCTTAAAATGCTCCTCCTCTCCTGCTTGTCTGTTTTCATGAGTGGTCCTGGCACCCACCCAAGTCCCATGGCCTCCTGGCCCTCCTCCCCCACAGCCAATCACAGAGCTTGGTGCTACTCCCGCCCATACGGCCCCTCAACCCACTGCCAGCCTACCATCCGGGTCCCAACCCTACCTTCTGTCTACATTACTGCAAGAGCTTCCCTGGGGCTCCCTTGTCTTGGGGCCCCCACTGCCACCACACAATAGCCTACCCCCCCTTCCCTTGCTTGGAAGCTCGGGGCTGTCCTCTCTCCCTGGGACCCCTGTTGGACCCCTGCTCGCTCTGGTCACAGAGGCAGGCTGGTTTCTGAGGAACAGGAAGGGCCCCGGAGCTCTGCCCCTTGGGCATGACTAGGGAGGAGTCTGGCCCCTCTCAGGCTCTATTCTCTGCTCCCACAGGCCCTGTGGACATTCTGGTTGTCTGCCCCCCCCCCTTCTGTCTGGGTGACCTGGAATCATGTTCCGAGGTCACCAAGACCAGGCTGCCTGGGGCCCAGAGGAGAACTATCCCCTAGGGGTTTCCAGGCTGTAACCTTGACAGAGAGGAGTCCTGGTGGAACATTGGGCTACCCTTGGGGCTGCTACCAGGAGCAAGGCCAGGAGTTCAAAGCCACCAGCTGCTCCGATGGAGAAAGATGAGGCCTTCTACTCCGGGAACTCCCCCAGGGATACTTCTGAGCCAGAATCAACTCGTCGGCTGTGAGTTTGGGCATTAATCTCTAAGTAAGCAGGTGGCCAGGCCTTTCTTGGGTGCGTCCACTGGGTGGGTTCGAACCACAAACCTTTAAGTTCCTTCCGCCCGGGGCCCTCCTTCAGGGTTATCTCACTGCCACCTAGTCCATTCCAACTCACAGTGAGCCGACAGGACAGGGCAGAACAGCCCCTGTGGGCTCTGAGGCTGAAGACGGTGGTGGGGCTGAAAGCCTCCTCTCTCTCCAGGGGAGCAGCTGGTGGTTCACGGCCCAAAGGCTCCTCCCTCGTGGATCAGGGGCCCTGGCTGTACAGTGGGAGACCCGCTGGGCTGCTCACCGCTAGGTCAGCAGTTCAGAAACACCAGCTGGCTGCTATGCCCCTAGAGAGTTCCCGTCTCGGGAACCCACGGGGCAGTCCCTCTGGTCCCCCTGTCGCGGTGAGGCAGAAGCCACACCATGGCAGAGAGTGTGGTCTGTTTGTTGAGGGGTGGCATTGCTTTCGGTGTGATGTGACCCCCCGGGGCTACGCCAGCCAGCAGGAGCTCAACACCCTTCTCATGGAAGGAGGGGGCTGAGGCCTCAGGGTTCACGTCGCAGGGATCTGGGGCGTCCAGAAGGTAAAAACCCAGAGGGGGGGCCCGGAGAAGAGTTGAAGGTTGGTCTCCCCGGATGGAAGCGCTCCAGCGCCCGCCCCGGCCCGCCCCGGCGCTGTCACTCACAGGTGAGCTCCGCCCACTTGGCGCCCGGGTGGTGGATGGCGCGCAGCGTGAAGCCCCGCAGCCCGTCGTAGAGCAGCTCCCGGTAGCGGATGCGGAAGCCCAGGAGGATGCCATTGATCTTGTCCTCGGCGGGCGGCTGCGGGGGGGTGGGGGGACAGGAGGGCAGGGCGGAGTGGGCGGGGCCGTCGGGTGGCTATTCGGGCCCCGCCCACTGCCCCTCCCGCTCCCCCGCCTCCTGGGCCCCTAGGAGCGGCCTCACAAGAAGGACCCCAAAGCTGGACGCACCGCGGTGGAGTCGATGATGCTGACTCACCGCGACCCCGTAGGGCAGGGTAGAACTGCCTCTGTAGGTTTGCCAGATCGTAACGCGTTACAGGTCAGAAAGTCTCAGCTTTCTCCCGAGCGGTGGCTGGTGGTTCCGAACTGCTGACCTTGTGGCTAGCAGCCTGCTAGTCACTGCAGTGTCCCCTGGGAGGCAGGGCAGGGCAGGCCCACTTCATGATGAAGCAGGGAACCTCATGAGGCTCAGGGAGGTCCGGGGACTCATCCAAGATCACACAGCAAGGATAGTGTCTGCCTAGCTGGTCAGTCACCCCAAACCTGCTGGGTCTTGGGCTGCCCACCGGCAGACATTTTCTGTAGCACCTGGGAGCTGGCCTGGTGTCTGCTGCTCAGCATGGGTACACACGGGAGCGTACCCACATGTATGTGTACACACACACACACACACACACACACACACACACACACACACACACACCATCTTGTCCTTTACTTTCAGCTCAGGGAGAAGGTGGAAACTTCTTTTTAGGACCCTCTGTGAGAACCTGCTGAAGATGCAGTTTCCTCCCTGCCCCACCCTAGTCCCCCCATCCCCCCGTTTTTTATGAGCTTTCTATTGCCTCCCCAGCTGCCCTGGGGCCTCAGTCCCTTCTGCTGCCACTGTCATATCAGGAATGTCTTGGGTGGGTGGGGGGGCGCTTCCCTGGCTAGGGAAGGGGTTGAGGGGGGTCCCTTCTGCTTTCCCTTTGAGTGCTTTGCCCCTGGGGGGGTTGTATGCAGCACAGGCTGGTTCTGCCCCTCAGGGCCTCTGTGGTAGCCCTGAAAGGCATGGCATGCAGGGGCCCGTCTTAGGCAGGACGGCTTGGCCGAGTGGGCAGTGCCCAAGAGAGGGGGTAGCTGGGGAGGGGAGGCTCCCTCTCCCTTGACAGTGGGTGCTTGTTCATGGGGACAGGCACACACACAGCACGCACACACACCCACACACACATCCCGCACTATACCAGGGGCTGGCCTCTTTACTAGAAATCCTTTCATTGACCAGTCGGGAGCCCTTGGGCCCTGAAGACATTAAGCATTTTCATGCCCCAGTACTTAGTGACCCCAGGTCAAGGTGGCCCTGTCTCTGACTAGCCGTGGGGCGGGTGGTCATTCACATCACTCCCCAGCCTCTGTCCTCATCTGCAGAGGGGCTGGGCCCATCCCTGTGAGCTGAATTGTCCGGAGAGTAGGATGGTGTGTACGTGTGCCTGCTGTGTGTGCATGTCTGCTTGTGTGCACCTGTGTGTGTGCATGTCTGTGGGTGTAGCCGCGCTCCCTCTGTGTGCCCTGGGGGTGGAGACGGCTGGGCCATGGGCTTCTGACCCAGCGGGGCACTTCTGGGCTCTTGGAGGGCCTCAGCCCACCCTGAGCCCCACCTACCTGCCATCGGATGAGCACAGACGTGGTGGTGTGGGGCAGCACCGACAGGACCGTGGGGGCTTCGTCTGGAGCTGGGGAGCGAGGACAGTGGGCTCAGGACCTCTGGCAACCCCCGACCCCTGGGGACCAGAACATGCAGTACTGGTCCCTCCCTCCCTTCTCCAGGACCCAATTTCTGCGGGGGAAGAATGCAGGTGGAGGGAGTGAGGTCTGGGTACCAGGGGCTGCAGCTTCCCTCTGGCCCTGCCCATGTGTCCACCTTGTCCCTCCCTGTCCACCCCTGTCCACCCCTGGCCATCCACAGAGCTTGGCGGATGTCAGAGAAGGCATGGCCTTGAATGGTGACCCATGCCCAACCTCTTTAGAGCGCTGTCCAAGGGGTGCAGATAAGGGTCCCAGCAGGCCTGGTGCCCCTCCACCACCCCGCCCCCCCCAATCTCTGCAAGCCTTTCTCACAAAGGCAGTGCCCAGGAGGCATGGGGGTACTGACCAGCCTGCAAGGTGGTCAGCGATTCTGACTCCTCACTGAACTCGCTGTCCCCAATGTCATTGGTGGCCTTCACCCGGAACTTGTAGGAAGTGAAGGGCTTGAGCCTATGGGAGAATATGGGTGGCCCCGTGAATGCCCCCTCCAGGCTCACGACCCTGTCCCTGTCTTGGGAATGATGGGGTCAGGCTCCAACCCCACACACAGGTGGGGCCCAGCTACCTAGGGGGCAAAGTGGGTCCCTAGTGCCCCTGCCACCCCTCCAACTGTGCCAGCTTGGAGCGTGGCCTCTCCTTTCTCCCCAGCAGTGAGCCTCCCCTAAGGGCAACCGGGCACAGGACCCAGGGGGCTGTGTGTGGTGAGGGTGCCCTGCCCACTGGAGCAGACCCTCCCTGCCCAGAAAACCTGCCCTTTGGATTTACTGCTGGGTGGAGGGGCTAGAAGTTTTGCTCAGAACCCCCAGTCTGCGGGTGGGAATTTGAGAGGGAACTGAGGCTTGAAACTGGGCTCTCTTGTTAAAGACAGAGCGCCAGCTTCCCTCCTTAATGGGGGGCATCGAGGACTTCAGTAGAGGGAACTTCAGACAGCCATCATTAAGAGGAAGTCCTAATAGAGAGAGAGAGGGAGGGGGAGACAGGTGGGAGAGAGAGAGAGGAAGGAGTGGGCAGAGAGGTGCTTGTAGGGGGAGGAGGGAGAGGTGAGAGGGGAGTGGGTGAGGGCGGTGGAGGTGGGGAGACAGAATGGATTGGAAAGGCCTGTGGGTGATCAGAGCTCGGGAAGAGGGTGTGGGTGGAGGGAGAGGGGAGAGGAGCCCGAGAGCTGGAGGGAGATGCCAAGAGGCCTAGGAGCTTGGAGACCAGGAGGGCCCGAAGGAGAGGGAGGGGCTGACTGGGAAGGCAGAGAGCAGACTGGGGTGGGGTGGGGAGGAGTTGAGAGAAGAAGATGGGGAGAAAGGGCGGAAAGAGGCATGTGGACTGGGTGGGTGCTTAGTGCTGCAGCAGTGGAGGCAGCCGGGCTGGGGGTCTTCCCAGCGCCCCCTGCCCCAGGGGCCAGCGGGTGGGGAGGGGCGACACTCACCTGTCCACCAGGAAGGAGGAGGCATTGTGGCGGACTGAGGCAGAGTGCAGGACCCACTGGCCGCTGGGCAGCTCACGCATCTGGACGCTGTAGTAGCGCACGGGGGACAGCCCATCGCTGCCCGGCTCCCAGGACAGCAACACGCTGCGAGCCTGCACGTCCTCCTGCCGCACTGTTGGCTTGCTGGGCGGCTGCGGGCGGTCTGGGGGGCAGGGGTGGAGGGTGCCCGGTGAGCTGGGCATCCCAGACAGAGGGCCAAAGACTGCCAGCTCTGGGCCCTGCCTGAGACATGCAGATGGGGACCGGCCCTGTCCCTGGCAGCATGGGGCTGGCCCCTGGGTCCTCAGCCCCTTGGCTGGCTGCCCTGTGGCAGCGCTGAGACAGCTAGACAGGCCTGTCCTGGGTGGTGGGGGCCATCCTGCCTCCTGCAGGAGGTCAAGCGGCGTCCCTGGCCTCCCTGAAAGTTCTGAAGCTTAAGAGTGTCCCTCTACATTGCCAGGTGTAGGGGCACACTGCTTAACCACAGTCTTTTTATTGGGGGTGGGGGCACGTTTCCTAAAAGTCTGTGTCACGTAAATCCTTGTCTCAGGCCTGCTTTGGGGGAGGGGGAACCCAGCCTCCGGGGGCAGCCTGAACGCTAGACCCTGGACAGCGCCCTTGGCAAGCGTCATGGGCCAGGGCCAAGGAGATGGCTACTTCCCATCCTTCTAGAACACCATAGTGGGCTCTTAGGGAGGGGAGCCCCTCACCCCCCAGGCCCACTCTGGAAACCCAACTGGACCCCAGGGTCCATTCAGACCAGAGACCGCATGACTCCCCAGCTGTCCCCCCGAGCACTTTGAGCATCTGCTTTGGCCGGGCTGCCCCTGTTGCTGCTGCACCCCTATGCCTCCCAGTCCCTGGGGCCGGTCACCTCTCTTCTCTGTGGTCACCACCAAGGCCTCTGCGGCCTCTCCCCAGCCCTTGCGGGTCTGGGCCGTGATGCGGAATAGGTAGACAGCCTCGGGCTTGAGGCCGGTGGCCGTGTACTGCCGGGCGCTGGGGGCCAGCACCTCCACGGTGGCGGCACTGGCTGTGGTGGAGTTGAGCCGGTGTGTGATCTGGTAAGCTGTGGGGAGGGAAACAGGGATAGAGGCAGGTGGAGCTGGCAGCCGGGACCACGCAGCTTCAGGACCTGCCTATGGCTCACCTGGCCACCTGGGCCCCAGATACTCAGGGTACTGCACACACAGGGTCTATGAGCCGTCTAACAGCCCCAGGTGAGGGGACACGCTAGGGTTTGACTCTCTCCTCCCCACCCTCAGGGGGAAACTTCTGAAGGCAGGCAATGGCGTTGGTCTGGGGTGGGCACTGCAGGACCTGGGACTGGAGACCCTGGAGCATGGGCAGTCCATGTCCACAGGCTTGGAGGGAAGGCCCCTCCCACTCTGTGTGTCTTTTCTTGATAGGTGTGTATGTGTGTGTGTGTGTTAGAGAAAGAACGAGCGAGCGAGAGAGATTTCTGAATACGAAATGATGCTTTGTCTATTGGCAGTCCCTTCCCCCTGCCCCTCTGCCCCATGTTCTCAGCTCTGTTCTCAGCATCCCACTATGCTGAGCTGGCTGGCACACCCGCACCTGGCCAGGCTCGGGCAGCGTAGCCGTGGCCTGCCAGATGGCCCGTGGGCCTTGGTGGTGCAGAGACACCAGCGCTCCCTCGGGGGCCTGAGCTTCCAGCCTGAGAAAGCAGCTGGAACAGGGTTCTGGGGAGAATCAGGTATGTGGGGGCAGGGCCCTGAGTCCCTCCCTGACATCCCCACCAGCTGGGCCAACAGGAAGGCTTACCCAGAATGATGCCGTTGGGGGCGGCGGGCGGCTGCCAGATGAGCCGCACAGACGTGGTCCTCACCTCAGGGAACAGGATGCCCATGGGTGGCCCAGGCACTGTGGGGGACAGAGGACAGTGAAGCTGCTGGTCAGCCCCCACCCCCACCCCTACCTGTCTCCTGTAGAGCAGCTAGCCATGGACAGACTGGGCTCAGGGCTCAGTGGGCTTGTGCAGAGAGCAGCCGGGGGCCTGAGCTGCTGGGATGGGTTTAGGGAGGCTTGGACCCTCAGCAGGGGCATTGGTGGCAGCAATGGCAGGGCCCTGGGGCCTGCTCCTTGGGATGTGCCTGGGCCTTCGGAGGTCCAGCCCTGGTTGCCACCCAGCATGCCCTCCCCATCGGGCGAGGGACTGTGGGGTGAGGGGACATGCCTGCCTCCAGCCCACCACCTCTTCCTAAAATCACAGAACTCCAGAGATCTCTGATCGCCCCCATCCCCCCCAAAACAAACCTGTTCCAAACCCACTGGTGGCCTGTGGACTCTGACTCCTGACAAGGGCCGAGTAGAACTGCCCCACACGGTCTCCGAGGGGGTTCTATGGAAGCCCTCGGAGGGGCTGCTGAGTTCAAACCACCAGCTTTCAGGTTGGCAGCCAAGCGCTTCCCCCCAACCCCAGCGGGGTCTGCGGGGGACCCACCCATGGTGGGTGGTGCTGTGGGTGTGTGCACCACCAGCTGTGCTGGATTTGGGGCGTGGAAGGGGGCTCAATGTCACTATGGGGGGGGTAGGAGAATGGGGTGGGGATAGCGGGGCTGGGGTGGGGTAACTCCCTGGGCTGCTGCTTTCTATCTCAGAAGGCCAAGAAGTCTGAGAATTCTAAATCTGAACTTGGCTTTCCAGGTCATTAGGAGAGTGTATTTATCAGGGCAGGAGAATAGAATGTGTTTAATTTAACAGGTCATTAGCTTGATTTATAACTCGCGAAGGCACAGACACCGGGTGGAGGGGCTTCCTTCTGTACTCTTGTTGGCCCCTGCAAATATTTGTGGTGGGCAGCAGGTGGGTGTGTGACGGGGAGCTGTGGGGTGCAGTACAGATCAGCTGCCTGTGGGGCACTCTATAGCTGGTGCGGATGCCTGCCGGGCCCGTCCTTTCCTCTAAGTGGGACCTGGTGCCTGGGAAGCACGAAACCTCCCCTCCTGTGGTCTTGAACTCAGAGCCACTCTGCCCCTGGCTGAAGAGAGATCGGCAGGGATGCCAAGTTCAGATTCCAAGCTTGTATCCTGAGAGGGCCAGATGTCCCATGGCTCTGGGCTGTATTAGGGGTATGGTCGACCACAAGCTGAAGGGTCAGCAGTTTGGATCCTGCCCAGAGGTGCCTCAGAAGAGAGCCTTGGTGACCTGCTGCTGAAAGGTCACAGCCACAAATGGCCCACCCCTGGTCACAGCACAGTTCCACTCTGCATGGCTGCTCGCCGGCCCCTGTCTGGCTCCTGTTGGCAGTGTGCTGGGTGACTGCCCCAGGCTGGCCGCACCCAGACTCACCGTCATCCAGCGTCCGCTCCAGGATGGGCGGGTGGCTGGGGCTGCCGTCGCCGACACGCGTGAAGGCCAGCACCCGGATCTCATAGAGCACGTACTTGCCCAGGCCGGCGAGCTGGGTGCTGCGGGAGGAGTTCCCGTCCACCAGCCAGAAGCGGGGCTGGGCGTCGGAATCCTTCTCCTTGTACACCACCTGCCAGAGCGGGGGTTTGGGGGTAGGGGGGCAATGAGGGCCGGGGGCTCGGCCTTGCAGCGCCCCTCCCCGGTTCCGGCTCCAGGAGTGAGGTGGGCAGACCGGGCAGTGCTGGCCAAGAAGGTTGGGAGATTTATCGACTGCCCTGAAGCACACACAGGTCTGTCTCGGAAGAAGTACGGTCAGGGTGCTCCCTTAGAAGCGAGGATGGAGAGACTTGGTCTCATGTTCCTCGGGCATGTAATCGAGACAGACCAGTCCCTGGAGAAAGGACATCGTGCTTGGTAAAGCGGAGGGGCGGCAAGAGAGAGGAAGGCTCTCGGCAAGATGGACTGACACCCATTGTGCTCAAACATCATGACAAGGGTGAGGGCGGTGCAGGCCTGGGCAGCATTTCACTCCTCTGTGCAGACGGCTGCTGGGGTCAGCCCCGACAACTGCGGCACCAGCCCACACATCACCGTACTGCATGTACCCCTGCCAGTGAAATGGGTGCTGTCTTTTATCACAATCTTTCTCAAACCATGTCACAGCAAGGACACCCCCCCCACCAAGTGTCTTGTCTAACTGTTCTGGTTGCCGCTGTCCCAGTACTCTGTAAAGCCCACACTTCCTGTAAGTGCTCTTTCCCCGCTAGGCTAGACGAGGACTGAGCTCAGTGATACTTGGGCGAAGACTTTGGTTCAAGGTTCAAAGACTCCCCCTCAGGGTGGTCTTTGGCAGTCTTGGGAGTGGCGGCTCATCTGGCCTCCGCCTGGACCCGACCATACTTGGGTTCTTGGAGTGGTCTTGTCCCCCGGGTGAGGAGGGGTTGCAAAGCCATTTGCATGGGGGCTGGGCCATCGGACGGGCTCACAGTCAGGGTTAGACGGCTCCTTGGGGATCCCCAAGGTGGGGCTGAGCTGAGTCGAAGGCCACCCAGAGTGGACGCCACTTATGCTTCCCAGCTTTCGGGGGGCTGACCACGCCTGTAGGCAGGGCTCAGGGAAGATGATGGAGGCAGAGAACCCAGAGTGAGGCTTGGGGCTGGGAGGTGGAGCAGAGACCTGGGAGCTTTTCTACCCTTAGGAGAGAACGGGGAGAGAGGAGACAGAGGCCCGTGCCGATGCTCTGTGTCCCTTCCAGGGATCACAGGACATTGCAGCTCCGATGGGGACCCGGGAGCAGAGACTCCCCCTGCTCCTCCTCCTCCAGGGTGCAGACCCACCTTGTAGCCCAGCACGAGCCCGTTGCGGTCAGCCTCAGGGACCTCGTTCCAGCGCACCAGCACGCTGCTGGAGGTGGTGGCCAGCGCGGACACGTTCGTGGGGCCAGAGGAAGGGACTGTGGGGGAAGAACGTGGAGAGGAAGTCAGAGCCTCAGGTGCACCCTCGGGTGGGGAGACTCATTGGGACCTAGTGCACATGGCTTGGGGCTTCCGACCCTCCCTCCCTATTATCTGCTGCTTGGGCTACCTCCACCCCAAGCTTGCCTTGCTTGGCCCGGTTGCTGTTTGAACAGAGCTATCCGTGGGCCATGTGGGGCGGGGGTGGGGGCAGTGGCCTGTGGGCCGGGGACTCTTGCTCTGTGTGTGACCTTGTGAGCTTCTCTAGACTGTTTGAGAGCAAGCCCTTTCTGGATGCTCCATCTGAGGCTCGGAGATGCTGTGGGGTGTCGGGGTGGAGGCCCTAGGCTGCCCGCTTTCCTGCAGTGGCGGGGCGGAGGGGGTGGGCGGGGAGCAGGTGTCGGGGACAGGTGGATGCCCACAGAGGAACATGAGCTCCAGCTACTTTGGGGACGCTAGCTCCAGTCTTTGGCTCCCTGGAGGACAGAGCCGTGGTGGGGTGGGGAGCCGGGGGCTGACCTGACTCTCGGGTCCTGCCCACCACCGCCTGGCTCCAGGGCCCGCTCCCGATGGCATTGAAGGCCTGGACCTGGACGCGGTACTCGGCCCACTCCTCCAGGTCCTCGATGACGTACTCCCGCCCCACGCGGTCGTGGATCACGTGGCTCAGCGTCTTGCCGCGGCCGTCCAGCCGGCTGTACTTGATCTTGTAGCCCACCGACTCGGGGTTTCCATTGTATTCCATCTCCGGGAGGGGCTGGGGCAAGGCAGCGGGGGAGCTCCTGTGAGACCAGCCCTGCCCTCTGAGGGGCAGGCACCGGGCCTCCTCCTTCTGGGGAGCCTTCAGGATGGACACCACCCTCTTGCCTGGCCTGTAGCACCCAGGTGAGGAGCGGTGGAGGCGGATTAGCTGGTATACCTGCCTCTCACCTGTCTCTCTGCTCTGGCCCCTGAGGGCAGCATGGACCAGGGGCTTCACAAAGCTTGTGGAGAGGAAATTCCATTCTCTTGCCACCCCATGTTCCCCATACTCCTCCCCATCCTTCACCAGCTATATTGCGGAGCCTCCAGGGAGCGCAACTGCCCAAACACTGGACCCCCAGCAGACACGGCGGCGGTTTCGGCCCATGTAGAGGCCCCTCGGAAGAAAGGCCCGGTGATCCGCTTCTCAAAGGCCAGAGCCCCCAAAACCCCAGGGAACACTTCCTTGTGACTGACAACACATCCTTCTCTATGGGCCCTGGAGGACCTTCCCCCTGCTACCCACCCACCAAAGCACCCACTGTGGCCCTGGCCCCTCTACTGCCAGGCTGCCACCAGCCACTTCTGCCCATGACTACATCAGCCCTAGTCTCAGCTCCTGCCTGTCCTTGGAGAAGCGTGCTTGGGGAGGGGACATCCTGAGCAGGGATGGGGCACACCAGGCACTGGAAGGAAGTCCTTCCTTCCGGCTGACCTCAGTCCCTCCAGCTGTATTCCCAGCCTCTTCTGGTGCCTCAGCAAACAGAACACACAGGTCCCGTCACTGGCTGATGAACTCCTCGGGGCTGATCAACAGAGGGGAGGGGGTAGTGGGGGGCACTTGGGTCTGGGAGCCAGGAGCCAGGCACACGGTCCTCCTCAGAGAGTGACAGAGCTGGAGTGCCCACAGCCCCTTCCTTACCCCACACCCTTTTCTGCCTCTCCTGTCTGACTTCCACACTGTCTGCTCACCCCCAGCCCCGATCACTGGCTATCACGGCCCTGAGCCCAAGGCCATGATGGCGGCTGATGGAGCCCGAGGAGCAGGACCCAGCTGCCTGCCCCATACCCGTGAAGGGAAGGGGCCTCCCACCATTAACCGACTGACCAGTGCCAGGGGCCTGAGGGGCACAGTGATTGTCCTCTTTATACCCCTGCAGCCCCCTGGGGTCTCTTCAAACTTTCAGAGCTCAGAATGCTTAAAGGAAGATGGAAGGAGGGTAGGAGAGCCAAGAGCAGGCTGGGAGCTGGGCCGGCAGTAAGGTGAGGATGCTGATGGGTGCTCAGGGCCTCCATAGCCCAGGCTGGGCCATGATGGACTGACAGTGCCCAGAGTCCTTCCCTAGCCACGGTGACCTTTCGTCTGAGCCCTGGTGGCTTGGTGGTTCGGGTTCAGGTTGCTAACAGACAAGTGAGCAGCTCTGGGGCTCTGTTTCCGTAGAGACGGATGCTGCTGTTGAGTGGCAGGTCACCTGCAACTCACATGACAGAGCAGAGCTTCCCAACTCACCGTCTCCACCGGTGCAGATGGCCAGGGCCGCTGACTTTCTGGTTGCTGGCTCTCTGGTTCAACAAATGCGCTCACTGCCCTGGAGTGGACGCAACTCACAGGGACCCTGGAGGACAGGGCAGAACTGCCCCTGTGGGCTTTTGAGGCTGTAACTCTTGATGGGAGTAGAAAGCCTCTTCTTTCTCCCAAGGAGCGACTGGTGGTTTTGAACTGCCAACCTTGCTGCTACCAGGCCTTCTGGCGAGCAGCTAGGAACTTTACCATGGTGCCAAGACGGGGCTCCGAGATCTGGTCAAATGATACCAAAGGAGACCCAAGTCCACCAGTGGGCAGTTAGTTCCCAGGATGGAGTCGAACCGCCCCAGAGGGTGTCCAGGGCTGGGAGTCTTCCTGGACACAGATGGCCTTGTTTTTCTCCCTCGGAGCAGCTGGTGGGCTCAAACCGCCCATCTTCTTGGTTAGCTGCTGAAACCCTGCACTCCCCGGCAAGTCCTGGGGGACAGTGAGGCTCTCAAACCTTTGAGGGTGCCTCACAGTGGGCCCAGCCACAGCCCGAGCCTTGTCCTGTGGGATTCGTGGGATCTTCAGGGGAAGAAAGAGGCTGGGGACCCTCAGTGGGAGGACTGGAGATTCACCCATACAACCCCCCAGGATCAGTCCTGCTCTGGTCTATAGGTTCGCCCTGGTGATGTCGTGGTTTCTCTTTGGGCAGCTAACCTCAGGGTGTGCAGTTTGAAACCACCAGCCGCTCCCCGGGAGAAACAGGGCTGCCTTCTCCTGTCAAGAGTGACAGCCCCAGAAGCTCACGGGGCAGTTCTACCCTGTCCAGTCCTGTGGCTCTGTGTGAGTGTTCGCTCGAGGGCAGTGAGGGAGTTTGTGGGCAGGATGGCCTCTGGGGCAGGGAGTGGTTGGTGAAGTAACCAATGGGACCAGCCAGGCCGGAGGCAGTCCCCACACACCATGCTTTCTAGGAGCACCTTCTGCTCAGGGGGACAAGGAGAGGCCAGCCAGACAGGTGGCCAGCGGCAAGAGCTCAGACAAGGGCCAGGAGTGTTCCTGAAATCCGAGGGTGCCCCTTGGGTGCCTTTAGGTGAGGACATCTTTGCAGGGGACGAGAGTCAAGGAGACACCCCCCCAACCCCCACCCCACCTTCCGGACCTACTCACCATCCAGCGTAGCCACAGGCTGGTCTCACTGGCTGTGCGCAGGGTCACATTGGCTGGGGCCATGTCTGGTGGTGCCTGGAGCGTCTGGATCTTTCTAGAAGGCTGGCTGGGCGGGCTAGTGCCCACGATGTTCACCTGCCGCATGCGGAAGCTGCAGTGGGGGAAGGGGTGAGCGAGATCCTGCGGGGGAGCTCAGAGCCCTACCTCCTGTCAGGGCGCCCTGCGCGAGGCCTTGCCCTGCCCGAGTTACCTGTAACAGGTGAAGGGGTTCAGGTCGGGCACCTGCATGGAGCGGGCATCAGGCTCACTGGGGAGCTGGTGGATCAGCTGCCACTCCTCACCCTCGCCGACCACGCCCACCTGGAAGCACCAGGGAGCTGACGCTGAGATGGGGGTGCTTGCCCAGCAGAGGTAGAGCTCCAACCCAACAGGGATGCCATCTCCTCAGGGTCCCCAAGTGTGACCTTGAGGTGGCCTGTGTCAGGACCCCACCTTGGCTCCACTCAGCCCCAATCCTGGAGGGGGCAGGACACCCTGGAAGCTGGGTTGCGGCAAGCCAACATGTGCTCCTTCCAGACACCCCGGGAGCCGCCCCTCAGAGCAGCCAGACTTGAGCCAGGGGCTCAAGGGGCAGGGGCAACGTCAGAAGTCTCCCCGGAGAAACCCAGGGGCAGCCCAGCCTGGAGACACTGTTGCAAAGAGCTACTGATGAACTGATGAGCATGAGATATGCTGGCAGACACGTCCCGCTGGCCCAGGACTGTGTGTGTGTGTGTGTGTGTGTGTGTGTGTGTGTGTGTGTGTGTGCGGGGATGGTGGAGGTGGAGGGGGCACTGGAGGGTCTTGGGGAGTGGGGGGGAGGGCTGGTTGGTGTGTCTCACCCTCTGGCAGGTGCATGTGACAATGTCCATGCAGGGGTGGCCTAGGGCTGGGCCCTCCCGTGCCTCACCTGGGCTTCCACCAGCCAGCGGGAGATGGAGGTCTTCCCGTCGTAGCCGGGTCTGAACTGCAGGGTCACGGCGCGGGGGCCGATGTTGGAGATGCCCAGGTTGCTAGGAGCCCCGGGGAGCTCTGGAGAGGGGAGCAGAAGGGAGGGGATGGGAGGAGGAGGACAGCCCGGTCATCAACAGGACTTCCCAGACAGGGAGTGGCCAAGGGTCACCTCTTCTCCAAGCAGGGCACACACACAGCTTCCTCTTCTTGCCGAGGGAGTGGGAGGGGAGGCTGCCCCAAACTGCGCTGGGCTCAGGAGGACCGCCACCCCTGCTGGTGGGATGCCTTATGGGTAATCCTCATGGTACACTCCGGAGAGCAAGGGACAGTCCTTGGGGGGTCTATGGTTTTTGGAGAGCCTTGGCATTTGGGCTACACGGTCTGCTGCCCATTGCAAGACCAGTAGTTCAAAACCACCAGCCATTCTTGGGGAGAAAGAGGAGGCTTTCTACTCCTCTAAAGAGTTAGCACCTTGGAAACCCACAGGGGTGGTTCTACCCTGTCCTGTAAGGTCGCGGTGAGTTGGAAGGGACCGGATGGTAGGCGTGGAGTTGGAGTGGGAGGAGTCTGTCCACAGGGCCGCAGTCCTCAGAGTTGGGCCATATTCTGGGAGGACCCAGGGACCAGGAATGGCATGGGCAGGGGAGCACTCTGAGGGGGAGGCTAACACTCCTGAGAGAAAAGGGGCCCTAGCACGGGATTCTGGTTGGGTGGGCAGTAAGGACCCATGGAGATCCCCCGCCCTTAAGCCCCCGAACCTGGCACCTACCTGGCGGCACCCCGGAGGAGATGGTGGAGGCAGACACCTGGCCCTGGCCCTTGGAGGTCATGGCAGCCACCTCGATGGTGTAGGTGGTGAGGGCGGTGAGGCCCGTGACCCGGTACTCCAGGGTTACGTTGGGCAGGTAGTGGGTCACTCGGGTATTGGTCCGGTTGAACTCCTCCCAGGAGATCCGGTACCCTGGAGGGAAAGAGGCCCAGAGCAGCTGCCCCCCATATTGATGGACTCCGGTGTGTGGCCCCCCAGGGGAGTCGGAGCAGAGCTCCTGGGGCTCCTGGGGCTGAGTTCTTGAGAGGAGGTGGTCAGGGCTAGCTCCCAGGTACCTAGGTGCATTCGGACTGAGCATGTGAGCAGGCCCATCTCAGGCAGCTGAGGCAGGAACTTGGCTGTGCCCTCAGCGTGTCCTTACGTCTGTCTGCACACCTGCACTGGGTGGTAAGCCAGGTGCATAGAGCAGGAAGGGGCGGAGGAAGGCAGCGCTGCAGCATTAGGCCTGGGCACCAGGGGTGGCCGCTGAGTGGATAGCAGGAGCAAGAGCAGCAGTAGCCACTGGGGGCCAGAGATGCTGGGCAGGGGTGCTGGGGACCCACTCAAGCCATCTCAGGAGGAGAGGAGGGCTGGGTGGCGTGGATGAAAACTGCCTGGAAGGTGAGCGGAAGTGCTGGCTGGGCTCTCCAGGTCCCTGGCCCCCCATACCCCCCACAGTTATCCCTGCACCCCTACCTGTGAGGAGCCCGTTCTTCTCCCCCGGCTCTTGCCAGCTGACTTTCAGTGAGGTGTCCAGGATCTCATTGAAGCTCAAGTGTCCCACCGGCCCGGGTACTGTGCCCCAAAAGATTGCCCCAACACACACAAAGCCAGTTAGAGCCAGAGAGAGGCCATCGCCACCCAGCCAGCCCCAGGGGTCCTGCGGGGCATCGCACCGTAGTGGGAGAGCAGATGGGACTGGCCTCTGGCCCGGGTGTGTGTGGGCTGCCTACCGTCCTCATGGGTGCGCACCAGCTGAGGGGCGCTACGGGGCCCGTCTCCAGGCGTGGTGAAGCACAGCACCGAGGTGAAGTACTCTGTGAACTTCTTCAGCCCCGACACGAAGCCCGCATGGATGCTGTCTTGGAAGTTGGGCCGCACAGTCACCACGGTAACCTCCTCTTCCAGCTCCGGCTCCCAGGCAATCAGCTGGGGGAAGGCCAACAATTCAGGGGAGCAGCAAGAAAGTTCCAGAAGTGGTCACACCCTCTCACTGGTCGGCTGATGGGCACAGAGCACCCAGACATCCAGGATGCTGGGCTCCCTCCCCCTCAGACCCAGCATTGCAGATTACACACATGGCACTGGGGTGGTGTCTTCTGGCAGTCCCTACCATGAGGATTACCTATAAGTCACTGGGGTGAGTGCTCTGGGTGGTCCCTGGGGTGTGCCCCTATACTTACTGAGCACTTGGCTCTGGGCGGGGGCTGTGAGTGTCTCTCTGGCTCTCACACCAGCCCCCACAAGGATGGCATCTCCTTGCATCACTTCCCGGGCTCAGTGCCAGACGGGTGGTCATCACCTTGTCCTTCTCCTGCGGCCATCTGAGATCGGATGCTCGGATGCAACCTGCCCCTCATCCACACACTCTCCACCCCAGGGCTGTCCTGTCTGCGCCGGCTCCTAGTGGCCCACGAGGACAGAGTGGAGCTGCCCACAGTGGGCTTCCGAGCCCGCACATCTTTACCAGAGCCTCATCTTTCTCCCACGGAGCGGCTGTGGGTCTCACTCAGACCTGACAGTTAGCAGTGGAAAGTATCACCCACCCCGACACCAGGGCTCCTCCACGGACTAACTGGTGGCGGCTGTGCCCGAGGGGAGCCGGAGTCTCCCCCCGCCCCCGGAAGTGAGAACCCTCCCTCTGCACCCGCACTGCCCCCGTGGGAGGGCCACTCTCCCCCTTTATTTGATGCGTGGTCCCAAGGTAGGATTTCAATCCGAAACAGCCCCTGGGGGTGGGATGTCTGTGAGAAAAAGCAGGACGGAAATTCAAATGTTCTCTGCGGGACCCTCTGGTTGTGCTGCTCTGAGGGGCTGTCCCACCAGCTCTGACTCACAGTCGCCCCTGCACACGGGAAGGGAACACCGCCGGTCCTGCGCTAGCCCCACAATCCTCGAGTCCTCGGGCCCAGGCTGTGGTCCTGCGGCCCATCCATCTCTCGGAGGGTCTTTCTGGTCGTCCTCTCTGCCGCTGCCCCTTCACTTTTCACCAACAGCGCCTCCCAAGTCCGTGAGAGGAGGCCCCCCCCATCTGTGGACCCACCCCATCTTGTCTTCGCTCCCTCCATCTCCCACCCGTCCCTTCCCTCTGTGCCGCCTGCTCCCTCACCTTCCTCCCTGGTTTTCTACCCTCTTCATCCGTCTCCACAGTGACAGCTGGTCTGGGAGACATCCTCATATGTTTGAAGTTGATTAAATAGCAATTAATGGTGAAAAGCAACACTCGATGGGTTTTAATAAGCACGGGTATTTATAGATATAAAACAATACCACGCCAATGTCTCCTGATTAACTCTCGCCTGCAACAATGTTTAATCTTCCCCTTCCCGTGGCCGCCTGTTTATAAAGGATGTTTTGAAATTTAATTGGTATTGTGAAGAGATAGCCTATGGCAAGTTAATGAGACACTAATTAGACCCTGAAATACTAATCAGAAATACTAAGCGGCATTTAATAAGTATGTAAAAGATCCCCCTTATTTCGGTTATCTTGTTTCATAGCAGTCAGTCGCGCGGAACGTCTGCGGCACAGACTACGAAACAAATCGAATGCTTTAATTTAATTTAATTAATGTAAATTTGAATTAATTATGCCGTCGGAATGAATCGTGTCACGTGTTCCCCGGCAAGTGTGAAATCTGGATAAATATTATATTGGGTTTAGATCAATGAGAAGCACTTCCGGTTTCGTTTCGTTTCAGGGGAGCAGCGTGTGTTTGCGGACGACTGGAAGCCGCATGGCAGGTCCCAGATGGGTCCGGAGTACGTGCGCCGGGTAAAGGCAGAGTAGTGGTGGGGACCACACTGCAGCCCCAAATGGTGGCAGGGCTGTGGCTTCATAACACTGACTCTGGGGCGGGAGTCACTTCGGCCTCTCTGGCGGCCTCTGAGGACGAGGAAGAGGAGGAGGCAGGGCTAAGAGGTGTCCCCTCAGGGCCCGGAAAAGACTAAGGGACCTGCTTTCTGTGCCTTCCAGGCCTTAGAGAGGGGCTGCTTGGGGGACAATGAGGTGGGACCCACTCACAAGGCTACCACTTGGTGAGCTCACACCAGGCCCTCGAGGGACCCTCTCAATGCACCCAGCATCGCCCCGCTAACCGGAAGCCTGGCAGTTCAAACCCACCAGCCACTCCTGGTTAACCAGCGGCAGTCGGGGTCCACAGTATCTCTGGGGCAGTTGCACTCAGTTTGATAGGATCGGTCTGCATCGCTGATATGGATTGCAACACAGTGTAAAGAAGACCCAAGTCCTCGCAACCGGACCGATAGGTAACCTCCTGGTAAACGAGGGAAAGGTGGAAGCAGTCAAGGAGTTTCTTTTTTTAAAAAAGGATTTCATCTTGCTCGGATCCACAATCCCTGTTCATGAAACTAAAAAAAAAAAAGTCTCTTTGGGCCCATCTGCTGAACAAGACCCCTTTTAAGTGCTGAAGAGCGAGGGTGTCCCTCTGAGGGCTAAGGGCCCTCCTGTGCACGGGAAGGCGCACACTGAAGACCAGAGACGGAGGGAGAGCCCCGCATTTGAATGGCGGTGCGGGTGAAGAATTCTGAACGTCCGCTGACCGCTCAGCAGAGGACCCGTCTGTCCTGGAAGAACAGCAGCGTGCTCCTGGGAAGCAACATGGCGACACCTCATCTCACTTGTTTGGACGTTATCAGGAGCGACCAGTCCCCAGAAAAGGACACCACGCTTGGTACAGCAGGGGGCCATGAGTTCGAGGAAGACCATCACGGGCACAGTGGCTGTAACCATGGGCCCAGACATAGCGCCCTTGTGAGGATGGCGGGGACTGGGTGTGTTTTGTCCTGTATACTGATCACAATGAGGGCTTGTGTGTGTGGGGGTGGTGGGGGTGGGGGGGTCACAGTCTTGGGCTGTCACAGAGAAGGAAACCGAGCTCAGGAAGGCTGGTGGGAGCCTCGCACATGGACCCACCTGGGGCCGGCTCCAGATTTGCCGATGGTGAGACCCTTATGGTCAAGACTGCCTCTGGGGTCTGCCTAGCTCTAGGTTAAGTCTTGCCTCTGCCTCTCCTAGTGGGTTGGGGGGCGGTGTCAATGGAGCCCTTTAGCTGCCTGGTCTTGGGCTCCCCTGGGTGGGGCCGGAGGGCGGTGAGAGTGTGCAGGGGAGGAGCTTCAGAGACGGGCAGCTCCACCTTAGAGAGCAGAGGCCAGGGGTCACACCCTAAATGCAGGGCTTGGCAGTGGTGGTAGCAGAAGGGAGTGGAGCTGTGGGGAGCCGGCTCTTTGGGGGTGCACATTTGTGCGGAAGGAGGAAATGGACCTGCAGTCGGCTAGCTTGATCCTGAGCCCAGTGCTGTCCCTTACTGTGTGACCTTAGGCAAACCACCGGCCTCTCTGAGCCTTAGACTTTTGCTGGGCTCTGTGAAGGTGGTTCTGACTCATAGAGACGCGATGCACAAAAGGATGCAGCACCGCCCACCCTGCACCTCAGTCTGTAACGCCAGACACCAAACCTGTTACCGCAGGGCCAGTCCTGACTCACAGAGACCCCATAGGACAGAGCAGAACTGCCCCAAAGGCTGTCACCCTTACAGAAGCCGACATCCACACCCTCTCCCCCAGGGCAGCTGGTAGAGCCCCCGACCTTTCTGACAGCAGCCCAGTGATCAACCCCACGGCACCCCCCACCCCCAGGACTCCTTTTGCCCACAATCAACTCACTCAGCTCACAGCCCTGGAGTCGGTGCTGATTCACAGTGACCCTGCAGGACAGGTGAACTACCCCAGGGGGTTCTCAGCTGTAACTCGTTATGGTGGTAGGAAGCCCCCTCTTGTTTCTCTCCCTCAAAGTGGCTGGTGGTTTCGAACTGCTGACCTTGGGGCTGGCAGCCCAGCCTGTAACCCTTACATCACAGCACAGCCTCATCTCCCTTGTTGGCTCTGAGAGGGCAGGGGGTGCCTCTCCTTCGGGTTTCAGCAGACGGAGGACAGAAAGGCCTCTGTGACTCGCTGGCCCCCGGGTCTAAGAGAAGGGGACATGGTCTCGCTGGATAGATATAGAAGAGAGGGCTTCAGAAGTTTGTGGGGAAATGGAATGAAAAGATAATTGAGTTTTTCCACAAACTTTTTGCAGCCCTCTTGTGTGTGTGTGTGTGCATATATGAGTGTATATATGTATGTGTACACACACACACACACACCCCCCAGGGGAGATGCATCAGTAAGGAGCACAGGAACTCCAAGGGACTCCATGTGGCCCAGACTCCAATTTAGACTGCTGGCCTCTGAAACGGTGAGAAAAAAACTCTGTTCTTCAAAGGCACCCTTTTGTTATGGCCCCGCTACATAGCCGCACCGGGAGAGGATGCCTTTTTGTAGATGGAGTCTCTGCTGATATTCAATACACGGAAGGGAGGGAGGGCGAAACCCAACCCAACCCAAAGCCCAGGCTTCCAGGAAGGGAAATGAAGCCCCCTGGGGCCACAGGGGCACTGGGGCTGATCTCGCCATCCCCAAATTTACTTTGCTTCAAAGATTTAATTTAGGAGCCATGTAAATATTCTCCATAATCATAGAAGAAAATTAAATTTGAGAAATCAATCTGTAGAAATGGAAAACGCAGAATGAGACCAACGACCCCCGTGACTGATTGAATTAGTCGGGTAATTACACACAGAGACACGCTCTCTGGAGACTGCCGCGGCAGCCACGTGACCCTGCGTGTGTCTGTGGGGCTGTCCCTACACACAAGGCGCCCTGGTGGCACAGCCATCCATGGTCAGCCGCTCAAATCCACCAGCTGCTCCTTGGGAGAAAGACGAGGCTGTCTGCTCCTGTAAGGACTGGCCGCCCTGGACACTCACAGTTCCAGGGGGCAGTTCTGTTCTGTCCTAGGCGGCTTGCTGGCAGTGGGTGTGTTAATCCCAATGAACGGATCCACACAGGGAGGATAACCGTTGTTCTGAA